ACACTCCAGAATCTTTGGCCCATTGCTGTAAGTGTGAGCCATTATCACTTTAGACCTGTTTGGGACATCTATAAGCAATGACATGTTTCTGAAGCAGTTGAAGTGTTGAAGCTTTATGAGCATGTTTGCAAGGATGAACAAGCAAAAGTCCTGAATAGGTGTCCACTGCAGTGCAACAATATCTCAGTCCATTGTTTCCCCAGGGTAGGAGACCGTTGAAGTCAATCTGACAAATCTCTGTGGGCCTCTCTCCCCTCTTAACCACCTCCCATCCAGCTTTTGTATATAAACGGCCGGATGGTGGCAGTGCAGGGTCGGGTGGCCGTTTATAAATGGCCTTCCCGCCTTCTGCTTGTGCGCGCTTCCTGGGAGCGTGCAGCACCGTGATCCGGTGCCCGCTGTGTCCTCCGGACACAGTGGAACACTGATCCTCGTACAGGACCTCTGTGGGAGGTCTCGATTATATGATCACTGATTGGCCAATCAGTGATCACATGCAGAGCAGTAAACAAGATGTCACTTCCTGACATCATTGCTTACTAAGTGTGAAATCTGTGAATGATCACAGAGGTCATATGGTACAAGGCTATTCACAACAGCCTTGTACCATGTGACAAGCTGTGACCAAACAGCTCACACAGTAGTTCTCAGTGGCTGCAAGAATGCAGCCAGAGAGAAGGAGAAATGATTGCTTTTACAGCCTTTATAGGTGTAAAAGCAATCAGTGTAAAAAAAAAAAAAATATCCATCACCCCCCACAAGTAGTACAGTGTCACCATGGTGACATTGTACTGCTAGGGTGACAGTATGTTAAAAAAAAAAAAAATATATATATATTTTTTAAAAATTCTTGGGGTCCCCCCGAATCCTTTGGGTCTGGTATGGGTTTTGAGGGGACCCCCATGCCAAAAAAAAAATGATCCATACCAGACCCTTGAAGCCCGGCAGGTCAGGAAAGGGGGGGACGAGCATGAAGCATGAAGCCCGGCAGGTCAGGAAAGGGGGGGACGAGCAACCCCCCCCCACCTGATCCATACCAGGCCACACAGAGACAAGGGCCTCTTCCCCACAACCCTGGCCGGTGATTGTGGGGGTCTGCGGGCAGGGGACTTATCGGAATCTGGAAGACCCCTTTAACAAGTTGGCCCCCACATCCCAGCTCCCCATGTGAATGAGTATGGGGTACATGGTCCCGCTACTCATTCACAAAAAACAAAAAGTGTGGTGTGAAAAAAGACAGGGCACAGTCTTTGACAAGTCCTTTATTAAAAGAAAAAACTAAAAGAATTTCCCCCGCAGTAGATCCAACGTCAATCACAATATCCGCCGCCAACCTGAAAAAAGAATTTTAAAAAAAGGCTCCGCTCCCGATGCTGGCTCCTGGCCGTCGGTCTGCTCCACTGGCTTGACAGTTCTTAAATATGTAAGTGGCGAAGCTACCCAGTGATATCACGCATGTGGCCCCACCTGCTTGTGGTGTCATCAACCAGGGCATGCTGGGTCAATGATGCAGGAGATGGCGCCACACGTGTGATGTCACTGGGTGGCCCCACCCCTTACATATTTAAGAACTGTCAAGCCAGCTCAGAGGCAGACGGCCGGGAGATATCGTCGGGAGTAGAACCTTTTTTTAATTCTTTTTTTGGGCTGGCGGTGGCAGTGGACATCGTGATTGACGTTGGATCTACTGCGGGGGGCATTCTTTTAGTTTTTTCTTTTAATAAAGGACTTGTCAAAGACTGAGTCCTGTCTTTTTTCACACTACACTTTTTGTTTTTTGTGAATGAGTAGCGGGACCATGTACCCCATACTCATTCACATGGGGGGGGATCTGGGGGCTCCCTTGTTAAGGGTGGCTTCCAGTTTCTGAGAAGCCCCCTGCCCACAGCCCCACAACCACCAGCCAGGGTTGTGGGGAAGAGGCCCTTGTCCCCATCAACATGGGGACAAGGTTGTTTGGGGGGGAGCCCCACCTGCCACAAAGCACCCCTCATGTTGAGGGGTGCTGGCCTAGTATGGTTCAGGAGGGGGGGCTCGCTCGTCGTCCCCCCTTTCCTGGGCTGCATGCTTGAATAAAGGTCTGGTATGGATTTTGAGGGGGACAACCACACCATTTCTTTTTTCATTTTGGCGTGGGAGTTCCCTTCAAAATCCAAACCAGACCCGGAGGGCTTGGTATGGATGGGAGGGGGGACCCCATGCCATATTTTTTATTAATGTTTTAATTGCTGGCAATTCTTTCTTTCACTTTCAGCTGTCAGTGGGGAACCCCGATGACAGCTGAAACATTAACACATGGTTGTCCTGCTATTGGCAATGCAATATGGATGGTGACTGGGTCCTTTTCTGTAATGGTCTCTACATGTTATAGTGCTGTGTATGCCCCAAACAGGTACTTCTATAGGGGCATGTATCTCTTCTGTGCCCTTGTCAGTTGCTTGGACCAAAATCCAATAGGTATTGCCCTCTGCCCTTTATTTTCATTTGGTTGCCACAGACTGCAAGATATGGTACCATCCTGCTCCACTACATCTAGCTCTCATGGGTTGCAATCCTTGATGCTGCAAAATTGTGTCTTTAGCAGCAAGGAATGTGGTCTGCTGCTCTGAACCCCATAAAAACTCAGTCTTTTTCCTGGTAACATTGTATATAGGCCTCAGGATCAGTCCAAGATGTGAGATGAATGATCTCCAGAATCCCACAACTCCAATGAACTTCTGTGCCTCCTTTTTTTGGTAGTAGGGAACAACAGTGCATGAATAGTTTGAACAACTGTCTCTGGAATTTTCCTCTGTGGCCCAGTCCACATCATTCCCAGGAATTTCACCTCTGTGGCAGGTCCTTGGCCTTTGTCTCTGCTAATAGCCCATCCTCTGTGCTCCATGTGCTGTATCAGCAGGTGCAGTGCTTCAGTTACATCTTCTTTTGTCCCAGAGATCTATGCCATCATCAATGTAGTGAAACACAGCAACTTTCAAGTTCAGTGTACTTAAATCTTGGGCAATCAGTCCATGACAAATCGTTGGAGAGCAAAGGAAGCCTTTCAGAAGAACAGTGAAAGTGAACTGGTGCCCAACTCACACAAAGGCAAACTGGTCCTGACTCTCTGGGTCTATCAAAATCGAGAAAAAAAAGCATTAGCTAGGTCTATCACAACATGATATTCTCCTGCCTCTTTAGCAATTTTCTCAACGATGGAGATCATATCAGGTACAGCTGACTTCAATGGAGGTGCCACTTTGTTTAGACCTCTAGTCTAAGGTCCAAGGATTCCTACGCTCAACAGTTCTTGAATAGTCTCCCCAATTTCTTTATGGCCTCCAGGAAATCTGTACTGCTTGAGACAGACTGGCTTCTCTGGTGAAGGAATGTAGACAGGGGTCCGTTATGCATGACCTCTGACCACAGCCTTCACCACCCTAACCAGATATGCTTTATCAGGATACCCTAATGTGAATATACCCCGTTCAGTCCGAATTGACTGACCCTGAAGTACATCCATTCCAAGAATATTTTCAGGTAACTCTCAGCCTCTAATTATTTTTCTTGGTGTTTAGTAAAAGCTACTTTGCGTTATAAGCAAGAAAACTTAGACCTCCATAGTGTACTAATGTGCTTTTACCAAATGAAAATGCTGTACATACAAACAATTACAATTATAGGAATACAATACAATACTGACAGATATACCTATAACAAGCAAAAATGCTACCTACTTCCTAGCATATCTATATTCTGTATACAATAGTAATGCGCTTAAAAGGTTACTTAACTCAGGTTAGAGTGGGTTCACGATCTTCATAGGGAATGCGAGAAAACAATCAGTAAACACACACACTCATATACAGTTAGGTATTTGGACACAGGCACAATTTTATTTTTTTCAGTTATTTACCAAAACATATTCAAGCTATAGTTATATAATGGCTATGGGCTGAAAGTGCACACTCTCAGGTTTAATTTGAGGGTATGTACATCCAAACTGGAGGAAGGGTTTAGGAATTACAGCTCTAGCTATCCCCCCTTTTTCAAGGGGCCAAAGCGAATTAAACAATTGAATCAAAAGCTGTTTCATGGACCAGGTGTGGGCTAGTCCTTTGTTATTTCTTCATCAATTAAGCAGGTAAAAGTTCTGGAGTTGATTCTAAGTGTGGTATTTGCATTTGGAATCTATTGCTGTGAACCTACATCATGCGTTCAAAGGAGCTGTCTATGCAAGTGAAACAGGCCATTGTAAGTCTTCAAATATGAAACAAATCCGTCAGACAGATAGCAGCAACATTAGGAGTAGCCAAATGAACAGTTTGGTACATTCTGAGGAAAGAAGAATGCACTGGTGAACTCAGCAAAGCATGGACGTACACGGAAGACAACAGTGGTGACTGATAGCAGGATCTTCTCTATGGTAAAGAAAAACCCATTCACAACATCCAAACAAGTGAAGGACTCTCTTCAGGAGGTGGGTGTATCATTGTCAAAGTCTACAATCAAGAGAAGACTTCACAAAAGCAAATACAGAGTGTTCACCACAAGGTGCACACCATTCATAAGCCTGAAAAATAGAAGAGCCAGATTAGAATTTGCCAAACAACATTTAAAAAAGCCAGACCAGTTCTGGAAACAACATCATCTGTAAACTATGGTGGAGGCAGTGTGATGGCATGGGCATTGGTGTTTATTGATGATGTGACAGAAGACAGAAGCAGCCGGATGAATTCTGCAGTGTTTAGAGATACAGTATACTGTCAGCCCAGATTCAGCCAAATGCAGCAGAGTTGATTGGATGGCGCTTCACAGTACACATGGACAATGATCCAAAAACACACTGCAAAAGCAACCCAGGAGCTTTTGAAGGAAAATAAGTGTAATGTTCTGCAATGGCCGAGTCAATCACCTGATCTCAAGCCAATTGAGCATTCATTCCACTTGCTGAAGGCAAAACAAAAGGGAGAAAGACCCACAAACAAAGAACAACTGAAGACATCAGCATGCCCCTTATTTTATGTTAACAGGCACTCTGATGGGCGCACTTTATGCTAAGGGGCACTCTGATGGGCACATTTTATGTTAAGGGGCACTCTGATGGGCACATTTTGTAAGGGGCACTATGGCCCATTTTATATTAAGGGGGCACAAATGGGCACATACTGTGGAAAGGGACACTCTGACGGGGAATATGATGTAAAGGGGCGCTCTGATGGGGAAATATGATAGAAAGGAGTACTTTGAGTATAAGGGGGCACTCTGATGGGAATACCTGATGTAAGGTGGCAATGTGATGGGGATACCTGATGTAAAGGGGCACTCTGATGGGGATAATTGATGTAAAGGAGCACTCTGAAGGGCACACTTGATGTGATGGGAATACATGATGTAAAGTTGCACTCTGATGGTGACACGTAATGCAAGGGGGCACGCTGATGGGCACACCCTATTTGGACATTGGCCAGAAGAAAATTTTAGTGACCGGACCTCCTTGAATGTTAATTCAATACTCCTGCTATAGAAAATTTATGGAGGGAGCTGAAACTTCGAGTTGCCAAGCTACAGCCAAGAAACCGTAAGGATTTAGAGAAGAATTGTGAAGAAGAGTGGATCAAAATCCCTCCTGAGATGTATGCAAACCTGGTAACCAAATATAAGAAACGTCTTGCCTCTGTGCTTGCCAAAAAGGGTTTTTCCACCAAGTGCTAAGTCATGTTTGCTTGGGGATCAAATACTTATTTTATACACAAAGATACAAATAGGTAATAAACCAGCTCCCCAACATGTCCCTTTAGAGGAAACCTAAGCATCTCTAGTATAAACAGAGAGGGTGAATCACCCCAGTGGGCACACAGACAGTTATACAAACCTGACAGGAATTGTAAAGAATATGTAAACCCAACATTACATTTTCCTGACATGTGCCTGATATGCCAGGTACTCGTATGAAAAGGCATCCTATCCTCTTTGCATTGCTTCCTTTGTGTGAAATCCCTGGTGTTCCTGCTAGTTCCTCAGCTTTCCTATTAAAAACTGACCACACTAGGCAGGAGAGCACACCATATTCAGTTCTCTAGCTGTGCTGGAAACTCAGTCTGCTCTCCTCCAATTATCAGACTTCTATTCACATGCCCCCCTCCCCCCTGCACAGCCAATCACTGGGAGTTTCATAGTTGTGCTGTTTCTCCTCCCCCAACTCTCTGAGCTCCTTATGTAGCTGAGAATAGAGGGTGTGTAAACACTTATAAAAAAAGGGGGAAGGGTATTTTTTAATGTTTTTTTATATCTTTACACAAATGTTTTGCCTTTCATTTCTATTTTAAACTGAATGGGTTGTTTTACAAGACAAAGGTTTACATATGCTTTAATCCCTTCCTACTCTAAAATGAAAAAAAAAAATTACTTGAGATGTAAAGTGCAATGATTGTAGCAAACTCTATTGCAGATCTACAAACCTAATATTGCTGTCTGCTAGAAACTGACACCTCCATTCATGTTCTTCTTCCTGTTTCCATAGGAGGTTCTGCTCATTATAGTCAGATAATTATTTTTAGTGTTTTAAACAAGGAAAAACTGCTGGGAAAATCCACTAAGCTGATCAAATAGGAAGAAATGACATTTCTTATATGTTCTGCCCACGTACATTGTATAATACACCTCCAGCTACAAAGGTTACATTTCATTTTTTTTAATCTTTAAACTATCATAATGGCTGAATATTGAAATAGAAAAGTCACTTTAATTGCAATAAAGCTTAAGTCCAGATGTACAAAAAAGTGGTAATACATTAAATGCTGCTGATGCTGAAAATTAATGTATTATTTACAAAGTATAATTCTTAATACACATATATGGTTGAAACCAATTTTCTCCCAAGATTCCCTTGTGCATTAAGTGGTTAAAAAAGAAGTGTGCCTATTACAGTCACTACCAACATAACAATAACTCACCGAAACGAAATCTCTCAACATGAATTGCCCCAGTGGAATAAGACACAGGGGTAAAGAAGGTCAGCATAGGTGAGAATGTGAGTCCTTCCTAATGCAAGCTTTCAGATCATTACTTGAAATGTTTTTAAGCCCATTACACAGGCAGCTATTTTTAGACAATTTCAAGCACTTTCACTATTGTTCAATCACAACAATGCTGAAAAGAATAAAAACAACATACCATAAACAGTTTGGGTCATTTAATGGTTTCAGTAGATAGTGTATCATTGTTGGCAATTGCATTAATTATCAAAAAGCTAATGGAAATTGTCTGATAAAGTATGATAATTGCAATGTGTGCATATGATCAGGCTTTAAGGACTCATTAACACCACAATTCAATTGTTTTTGTTTTTTTTTGTGCCTTGTTTGCCTTGATTTGCCTTGCAGTGTGTTGTGTTTATGCATGTTTGCATGCATTTGAGTGCTTTGCATTAAAAAAATAGTGCATGCTGTATTTTTTCAATGCTGGATAAACACAAAGTGCTGGTGTGAACTGCATTCATAGGGAACCATTATTTTTTTGGGTTGCCATGCTCCCTCCCTTTCCTGGAAGTTCAAGAAACCAATGCAGGATCAAGAGGCAGGGAATGGGGAAGTTGTAAATGTTTAACTTCACTAGGCTGTTTAAATGTATTGGGGCATGTTGCACTGCTGGCTAGTAGAGGATTAAGTTACAAAAAAAAAAAAAAAACTTTACTACCAATTATTATTATTTAGGATTTACATAGCGCCAACAGTTTGCTCAGCGCTTTACATTATAACAGGAGACAATACAGCAACAATACAGTTCAATACAAAAGGATTAGGAAGGCCCTGCTCCTTGGAGCTGACAATCTACGAGGGAGGGGCGCTTAAAGCAGTGGTCTCCAAACTGTAGCCCGAGGGCCAGATGTGACCCTTTGCTAGCCTTTATATGGCCCTTGGGGATCTTTTCCTCCCAATGATATGAGGCACTTTTCCTCCCACTGACACCTACAGTGTGGCGAATTCCTGCCACTGACACCAACAATGGGGCACTGGTCCTCTCACTGACACCAACAATGGGGCACTGGTCCTCTCACTGACACCAACAATGGGGCACTATTTCTTCCACTGATACCAATGTTGGGGCACTATCCCTCCTACTAATACCAATGATGAGGCACTATACCTCCTCCAACTGACCACCAACCCTGAGGTCATGTTTATTCTCACTGATGCTGTTAAAGTTAACAGTTTTGCTTAGCTCAGCAAAAACCAGGACATTTTTGGCAAATTTTCACCATTTCACAAAGTTGAAGATTAGTTTCTTATTTATTTATTTGGTATACTGAACTGAGAGCATAACTTAAGTCTAATGAGAGGTGTCCTACATCTCTCTGGCTGCTTCTTAGTGTAGATAACCTCTCTTCATTTATGTTGGATCCTTCTTGTAGCTGTGAACTTCCAGCACTGAATGAGCTAAGAACAGTGACTATGGCTGTGAAAGTCTCCTGATGTCTGCCCTCCCCTTAAACACTTTTGGCCCGCCCACCCACAATGTACTGGCAATAGGTGGCAGCTACACAAATACGGGTACGTCACTGATCTTTTGTCAACACAGGGGGGTGCTGCGGGTGCTCAACCCTACCCCCCCCATGTCTGCTGGTAACATTGCATTAGTCTGATGAAAGTATTTTTTTAAAAAAAAGAAAAGAAAAATAATGTTTAAAATAAAAAATGTAAAATAAAATTGATAATTTTTTTTTTTAAATACTTGCTGCCAACAATGTGTGGGTGAGCAGCGGCTCTGGGCAAAGCATTGTAATCTTACGTCGCTTTCTATTTCCTGGTGTGTGTGCGCATGCATACGCCCCCCTATGCCATCCAGGGAGAGAAGAATGAACGCGGCACTGAGTAAAAGCCCTACATTTTTCCCACACACACACAATAGATTAGCACTTTTAACTCTTTGATTGCCCATAATAACCTATTGATCACACTCGTCACCCAGCCAGTGCCATTAGTGCAGTGTCAGTATATAGACTTTTTCACTGATCACTGTATTACTGCCACTAGCAACATCAGATAGCGTCAGGGTCAGTTAGCGCCCCTCCCATCCAGGGTCAGCTATAGTTAAATTGCCCACACACTATCGCACTCACAGTATAGGTTGTTGATCACCGCCATTACTAGTATAGTGTTTGTACAGATCAATATATTGATCACGAACAGAACTATACTAGTGCATCCTTTGTATAGCATCCCCAAAAACACAGTGTTAGCAGGATCAGCTCCATTTGCTGTCAGCACTAGAGTTTAGCCCCTCCACTGTTTTTCATGGAAGATTTGTATCAATTGATTGTGGGCCAAAGCAATTTATACGCACATCAATACATCGCAGCCCACCCAAATTCAGCTCTTGCCAGACAATTCAGATTGAAACCAATCTCAGTTTCTGAATTTAAAACTTTTTTGGGCCTAACCCTCAACATGGGCATTACAAAAAAGAATGAACTGCAGCCATATTGGTTCACAGACCTGATTCATCATATGCTCATGTTCTCTGCTGTTACATATATGCCCAACATAGACCAGCAACATACTGGTACATCGCTGGATTTTGAGTGGTTATACCGGGATGATGCTGAGTGGTTATACCAGGATGATGCCTGCAGCTACATCATCCTGGTATCGTTTTTTTCAGCTGGGGGTTGGCTTTCATTTAAAAACAATCACAGCCATTAATTAGCCACTGGATCATTTTTACAAGCAGCAGAAAGGGGCTCCCTCGCCCCTCCCACCACCTTCCAAGGTTTTCCTGGGCTCTGCTGTCCCACCTGGGAACCCAAAAATGCAGTCAACAGTTATACTGGCTGACAATAGAGCTGATCTGAAACTGCAATGCCTCCACTCATCTCTATGGTCTAAGAGACCGGAAGCTACGAGCATTTCATCATTTCCATTTTTGCTGGATATTAACAGCACCATTGTAGCCTCCCTAGCAGGGAGACCCCCCCCCCCCAAAGCACCTTGTCCCCATGTTGATGGGGACAGGGCCCTTTTCCCCACAACCGTGGCCAGTGATTGTGGGGTGTCTGGGGACAGATTATCAGAATCACTGAAAGCCTCCTTTAACAAGATACCAGCCCCTCCCCATGTGAATGAGTATGCGGTAGTGCAAAAATGACAGGAGACAGTCCTTTAATAAAAACAAAAATTAAAAACGTCCCCCCGAAGTAGATCCAACGTCAATCACGATGCTCACCACCACCGTCAACTGGAAAAAAAGAAAAAAAAACACTCTGCTCTCGACACTGGCTCCCAGCCGTCTGACAACTGCGCCACGATGACAGTTCTTTGATGATGTCACAAGGTGGCGTCATCATGTGCTGTGATTTGCCAAAGCATTGTACCTGCCCTGTGGTCAGGTGCATTTCTTTATCTAATTACAATGCACTGGCAGGGCGCAGTGCTGTTTTGAGGCGTAGCAGGCGAATA